TTATTACTTGCCATTTATGATTAAATTTTCAGATTATTTTTGACTTCATAATTTATCATTTTTACTGTGCCTGGGTAAAAAAGTACAGTTTCAAAGCTTGATACCGTCTCAGACAGAACATCCAAGACAGACTGGCCTGCTTACTTCACAACCACCCCTCACCGTTTCACCTTGTGTCCAGCGTCGGGTAGACTGCGCACAGATTAACAGTCAAATCTGGTCTTTCCGAGGTAACCTGCTGGTCAGTTGACGCACCAAATCCAGCCTGGGTTCTTGCCGTAGGGGTTTATCTCGACAAATCCAATGTTTGCTGTCATAATGAATCAACATAAAAGTAATACGATCCTGTCTCAAATCCACAGGGCAGAGCTCGGTGGAATCCAAGAAACCCCCGACGAAGCCACATAAGAATGAGTTGGGTGGTGTGGGACAGTCCCCTTTACAGCCCAAAAACATGATGACGCAGGAAGCGAGGTCGACCTACCAAGCTCCGACTACTCGTTAACATAAAAAAATAAGGCGTAGGCGAACAAAGCAGCTACGATAATGATGACGGTCATTGGGATGAGAGGGGGGAGGTAGCATTAGAAAACAATCAACAAAGAGCATGCCCCCGGTGCGAAGACAGTCAGTGTGAAAAACTTTACACGGGGATCGGGGGCGTTTACATCAAAGAGCATCCGAAAATAGCCCCAAATTAAGTAATGGAGTAGTAGGCGAATTGGTTCCCGCCTACGGTGGCCCAGACAGTTGCACAAACTGACAACTGCCGGGATAGGGCGGCAGGTTTAGCTGATATTTCTCCGCCAACACAGGAGGAATGAAGCGACCGGCTGCAGGACATGAAAGAAACAAAAACATAAGCATGTAATAAGCACGAGGCTGCAGACAGTGCCTACGACCCGCACTTAGACTAAATTAGAATGATTCGAGAAAAAGCATGAAAACGGGTTGAGCGAAGTTGGCGGCGAGGAATTCGATGAAAAGGAAAGAAATGATTGCCAAAATATGTTTGCACAAGAGAGCTCGGTGTGAACACGCGTTTGGCCTTGTGTTTCCAGAATAAATAGATGGGCAGCTGTTTCCGCTTACAAAGATATAACCAGAAGGCAGTTGACAAGATAATACCGACTCTAGCTGATATTTAGGACGTTACAGGGGGAGGAGGGAGGGGGGGGCAAGAGGGAACAATGAGAAGGACTTTATATGAGATATGTGCGCAGGGCAGTTGCTACGGCAACAGAACCGGTCCACCATCAACCTCCCAACAAGATGGCCGCCCAGGGAGTAGGCGCAGGCAGGAATAGAACCCCAGGCAAACATTCGGCCCCTGTGTATATGACCGTTGAGTAGCCGAAATGGTGCGCGCATGGCTTCCCATGAATGTAGCATAGAGAAGTGTAGGCATTATCCTGCCAGTGCCAGATGGGAACTTCGAGGCAGAAGTTTACTATCGTCTAAGTTGTCCACAAGAAGAAATGGCAGGATACTGAGAAACTGCGCCGGTGTTGATAGGAGGCAAGAGGCATTTCAAAAGAAGAAGACGATGCAATGGCTGAAACATCAGCCTTATCTGCGAATGTCTCTTATGATGGTTCCGAACGAGAATACGAGAGATTAGGCCGATGTACTTTATTTCCCAGCGATTGCATCTTTTAAATTAAGTTGTTCCCAGCGAAAGAGGGTAGCCCCAACACCTTCCTATATGAAATGCCAACACCGCCTTAAGTATCAACAAGTAAACAATTACCTTGTCCTAAATGGATATTTAACTATGGTATCTCACTGAGGCCGCCGATGCCTTCACAATTGGGTCAAATTAGTTACGTTATCGTTGGATTTATCGAATAAGTGATGTGGTATGTGGCCACTAATCAATGAAACAACGGAAGGTAGTATGTCTAGGTCCCTGGCGCTCATATGATCCAAAACACAGTTGAACAGAATAGGCAAACGCGAGAAGCAATACAAAAGTCGTTCAAGTCAATTAAATGATTGATGCTTCCAAGTTTAAGGTTGACCATCCAGTTGGGACAGACACACGCACACATCGGCTGCAAAACTCGATTGAGACGGACACACGTTAACGTTTGCAGGTGTGATTGACACAATTTATGCCCAATATATGTCCGTCATTGTGGCCTCCTTGGTTTCACAGGACACTCTGTGACATCACTTGAAAAAGCCAGACAGGCCTAAATGGTCTAAATGTCCACTCCAAGGGATCACGTGTCGGATCCGCCAGTCTGAAGCACTGAGGATAAAACTAAACAAAACTCAATGCAGATTTAATGCGAAGTTGTGGTAAAATTAGGCTTTTTATGTACGTGAAGGAATGGCCGTGAAGAAACGCAGGAAGACGGTTAAAAAGCGTAAGAAAATGGCAGGTCAGAGAGGCAGCAAACACTTACCCAGAAAGTGGTAGCGACCATTGAATCGCCGAGCGCAAAGTTTCGGGGCTGTCAGTGAAATCAGACAGTCCGGTTGCAGTAGATCTTCGCCAGTTGTCTTTTCCGTCATTTCCCAACCTGAAAGTAAACACGCAGGCGAAATGCAGTTGATGTACGCAACGGGGACGGTGTCAGTTTGGTAAAAGACATCACAGAAACAACTAAATGCTACGGCTTTCCACGCTCGGTGACGAATGTTCACACTGTTTGGGCGTACATGCGATCATACTAATGAAGATCTGGGCGGGGTCAGCGCGACCTTGCACGCCTTCGTTGATTTTTAGAAGTGGGGCGAAATTCAGACAACTGGGTATGACAGTGAGCGGGGGCGGGGGGCATT